CACATGACTTTAAAACCGTGCAGTCATGCTGGTCCCAGTCCTCACCCGGCCTTTCCCTTTGCTGAATTGCTTTGTCAATCCTTTTGTCACTTTTATAGTTAGGCCACATAGTCTCTCCAGCACTGTACCATTCTGAAGGTACAACTGCCACAGATTGCGTTGCCAAGAATTTCACAACATGAAACATACTGGAATAAAAACAGCAACACTATGATATAGACAGTAAAGGTAACACTTTAGGGTTGGTATTGCAGACACATCTAACACTAATGAGTAACATGTAAAGGCAAAAGCATGCAAATATTATTTCAGTGGTAATAAATCTGGCAAAACATGAATTATAATGTTGTTCATTATGAATGAAACAGGTATAAGACTGTTACTAATATTTATTACTAAATTAACATGAATTTATATGTACTAAGAAATTGTTATGCTTTATAGTGTTTATATAATGCTTGCTGATGACATTTTGCAGTAGCAAGATTGTACATTTGCCTTAACTTTGATGGCTTTTATGCCATCAATATAGTTTCTGAGAATGAGTTAATCTTCTCACATTAATATGCTTTTGAAATTTTTAATTAGTAAGCATACAACACACAAGAAACACTTGCAGTTTTTAACAGTACTATATTGATAAAAGTTCATTTAACAATGGACAAATACATAAACAGTATTTAAGAACAGGTTCATTTAACAACTTGACAATGGATTAATGTTCAAATATATAAATTTAAAAACAAACCAACATACACAATACATAAGCAACAAACCTTATATACAATCATGCGTCTGTGTGGTACAGGAGATAGGAATAGAGACAGAGAAATCTTTGGTAAGTTAGTTATGCAGTAATGGTATAACCACAAAACCATCTTTGTGAGGCAAGACAACAAATTTCTGCATAATGTTAGAACACTTGGCATACTTCAGTTCCTCCGACAAGTGAGACACAAAATAAATGCTCAAAAATTCAGAGATAAAAGGATAATCAAAGAAAGCACTCTGTTCAAAGACTTTGTACAAAACATACACGTCATCTGAACAAGAAACAATGTTAAAAACAACACAAATTTCATTTCCAATGTTGAAAATATTATCTCCTGTTGGAACTTTAACAGTCCACTTGTCTTCATACATTTCCTGGTACTGTCCATTCACTCCTAGAACACTTAAAAGCGGGCCAATAAAGTGTGGTTTTTTAAGAGTACATTTCAGCACTGAATAGTGTTGGGTGTTCTGCTGCTCAGACACTCTTCTGAGAATCTGCTGGAGTGGACAGCTTGCTTTTCTAACAAATTTTTTAAGTTTGTGCAGGTAGTTCTCATAAAGGAAGGATGATATTTTATCTAGACAACCATGCAATATGACATCTTGTGGGAGATGTACTAAGGCATGCACATTGTAAACAATTTCATGCTGGCCATAAATGTCTCCAAAATGACTGACAAAACTACAAAGCAATGTTTGTGTGTATGATGCATGAGTTAATGACAAACTTGGACTGATTAGTATGGAGATGCTGGCAAATAGAAGCATGAAGTTATTGTACATGTTGCTGTCAAGAAAAGACATAAGGACAACAGGACCAATGTAGAGGAGAAATTCCCTGAATTCTGTTGCCTTCCAACGGTCAACTTCCCTGAGCGACCTTGGTTGTCTAGCAAATTCCACAGGTATATATGGACGCATTTCCACAAGACGATCAGAAATTCTATCGACAATTTTAGAAGGCAATCTGAAAATGAGGTCCCCTCATCCACATTAACAACAACTTCCGGACAACCCCCAAACAAACAAGATGCATATATTCCAAAGGGAACTGGGATATCATGCCAACTGCACATTCTTCAAAAGGATGTGGACCCACATGATGGTGTTCCTCATCATGCCTCTCTTAAAACGACTCATCTGTTCTAAGTCTAAAAGTGGTCAAGGGGTATGTCATCCTTCCATCTACAGTACATGATGTCCTGGCTGCTCACATTTGTCACACCCATGATAGCCATTATGTGCCTTTATGTTCTTAATGAATGACCTGGCAGG